ACTTATTCATGTGTATAAGACAGAAATAGTGTGAACACCTCTGCATACACATGATATAGTGTGTATATGTATTTCAGAGGACAGCTTGCAGAACTCTGCTGTCTCTTTATGTAATGCAGGTCATACAGATTAATTAAACTCTCCAGTCTTAGCAACAAGCACCTTTACCCAATAAGCTATTTAACCAGTTCCATATTCTCTTTTTAATACCAGATTACACTGGATTTCTAAAAATAAATCAAAGTTGTGATTTCATAAACATTTATGTCAAATATGAATTTAAACTGGTTAGAGTGGTTGTAAGTTTGAGACAAAACAGAGTAGAGGGTAGAAAGATTTCCCTTATGTCAGCTTTAATATTCATATGGGACAGTTTAGGTGTGCCTCTGAGAAATCACATTTTCTTCTGCTGCTTTAAGCTTAAAATTTTGTCCAATATTCATGAATAATGCTATTATATTCAGTAGGTTGTGGGGTTTTACTGTAGAGAGTAGTGAAGGAATCTAGGATTCTTTCGCTACACCAAGGGGAAATTGAGTCCAAGCTGATAACCAGATATTCTAAATGAGTGAAATATCCATACAGATAGCAAATATTTAAATCTTCTGCTTTTCTTTCATGAGAAAAAGCTGAGAATATAGTTTCCAAATTGAAGCTAAAATTAGTTTCTTCAATACAAATATCTTTCCCCTATTTTAACTTGCTTTATGTAGTATGTTGCATAAGTAAAGACAGTGTTAGATCAAAATTATTAGGTAGCAGGTGAAAAATAATGAAGTTTTCAGATATATTTGCTCTTTAATTATTAATTTATTGGCTTTTATTATTTATATCATAATCATAGTGCATAATTTCAAGTTATTTATGTGACTGTCTCCAAGTTAAATAAAAACATTGCTAGTAAAATATTTAAGAAACCAATTTTTCTAAAAATAAAAAAGTGGTAAATTACTTAAAATAGTGTAAATCCAATAATTTAGGCCTCTTGGCACATTTTTCAGAATGCACTCTTTAAACATTTTTAATTACAAAATAACTGGATCGTCCACCTGCCACTATCACAGAAGCTTTTCATTGCTTCTAATTCTAGAGATAAACAGAAATCCTTGCAGCTTTCTCATCTGTGTTTGGGCAGGGAGTCAAGCTAGCAGTTCTGCTGTATGCTGTGTCCATAGAACTACACAGAATTGCACCCTGAAAATCTGAGGAGTTATCTGAACAAGGCACCTGTGTGATGGTAGAGCACATAGTTATCAAACATCAGATATATGCACAGCCAAGACTTATCCACTTACCTGTTTGCTGTTATCTCTGTATAGCCCAGGGTTCTATATCTGGATTCCTCATAGTTCTCATTTACTTGATATTTTCTGTTCTTGATAAGATACTATCTATATGTGCATCTTATTTTCAGCTAGCTACACTTTTATATTTTACAGGTCAGCTGTCTTGTAATAATACTTTTGCAATCTTCATGCCAATTTATCTGGTCCGTTATTGTACTTTTGTGGTTCTCAGGGGTCAATTGTAGAGGTCATCTCAATCAAAGTGAAATGAATCATTACTTTTGGACCCGCATTGAACTCAGCTTTTACATACTACTCATATTTATAACTCTGAGCCTTAAGTACATTGACTATTTTGTTTACGGAATGCCAATAATAACACTTATCTCAAAAATATTATTATGAGAATTCAATGACGTTATGTTATATAACAGCCCTGGTAGGACTATTGATCTTAATATTCATTTTTCAATCACTTTCTGTGGCTCTGCTTCCTCCTCAGGATCATTTGCTGCATTGGTCCATGAGGGTGGAGGGAGCAGAAGTGGGGAGAAGGGTTCAAATGGCTGTGAGTAAGAACACAGCCCTCTGTGAGACAGACTTAGGTGAATCAGCTCAATTTTATTCCAGAGTATAACAAATATATAGGATTGGGGAGCTTGGGGACAGAACCTAATTTGCACTAAGTGGCATGTTCCTATCATATAGCTGGATTAGTGGAAGCATGGCTCTATCAAAATTGCTGGAGCATGTGCCTAATTACCATGTGGGTCATCAGGGGAAGAGCATTTATAGGCAACTGACTCAAGGATCACCCTTGAGATAAGTCAGACATCTTGAGCCTAAAGCATCCACCAGATAAGAGTAGGCAGAAAGCAGGAAGCTTTTTCTGAGGGGATGGAGTAATGCATGTTGCCAATTTAGAGAAAGTTTCCAGGCTGTGGCAGACTGCAACCTCTGATCAGCAGGTCCTCCCAACAACTTTAAAAGATGCTAAATGTCATGAGGAGTAGCCCCAAAAGTCTCAGCCATATACAGAAAACTGATCAAGTCTGAGAGCAGAAGAGGTGATTCTCTACAGAGAAGAGCATACCAATTGGTTATCCAGTGCCAAATAGCCCAGAAACATGCAAACAAGTTATATTATATGCACTCAACAGATTTATATGCACTCAACAGATTATGTTTGAGAATATATAGATGTAAACAAATACATTTATGCATGCAATAAAAATTGATGGGAAAAGAGGTCATAAGTTTGAAGAAAGGGGTGCATTTTGAGGAAAAATGGAAGGGAAAAGTTGTAAATAAAATACAATCTCAATAATAAACAAAAACAGGAAGAAGAAAAAGATGATCATATTATCACCTCCAAAAATTATAGTGGACCTTAGAATTATCCATTCATTTACTGTGCTTTGATCTTAGGAAATGAAAAATACTTTTTTCATAAGATTACACATTTCATGCCAAGACTATATCTCAGTTGAGAATATAGTGGGTGTTTTGCATTTTAGAACATCAGGTAATAGTTTCATTACTAATAATATATGATATAAAATACATATTTTATTGACAGCTTCCCTGAAGCTGTCATACAGGGAAGCAAACCATGTGGAGGGATAAGAATGAAAACCTGATGCAGATTGACTTTTTCAACATGGACCAGACTTCAGGGAGTCTAATGTCAGGTGGTTCATCATCGGTATATTTAAAACCAAGTACAATTTGGGAAAAGATTTCAGGTACTAATCAGTCCAATCAGTCCAATTATAGATGTATGAGAAAGCTTAAGGTGTGACTGCACAGTGACTCTTTTACAAAGTACACGTGACCATGAGGGTGTGGGTTCTAGAGCTAAAAGGCTTAGAATCTAGTGTGGCCTCTGACCGAAAGCATAAAGTATTTGTGAAACTTAAGGATGGGTTATGGTCTAGGGAGGAAAAGTCTGGGATAGTCATTCTGGTCTATGAGGTCTGTCCCTTCAGATAACAAAAAAGGTCACCTGGTTGTTAATAACCTCGAGTCTCAGCTTTCTGGATGGAATGCAGGTATTTGATTTTATCTCCTCTGTTGAGGAGATACCCCATGTGATTAATATTCCTGGTTCTATTAGTACTTCTCTGAAGACAAGGACTTCTGTGCCCCAACATTTTATAAAGTAGAATACACTATAATATTTCTATGACACCTATATTTTATATAGTATATATTTTAGATATGTTTGTATGTACACATTGTGTATATAAATATATATGTATATTGTGAATAAACCTCATTAATGTAGTTTGACTAAAAAGCCAAATTGTCTTATATATTTTATGTTACCACAAGAGAATAATTAGTGCTAGATAATGTATGTAAAAAAGAGGTTTATTTGGTTCAATACTTTGGGTAGATTGGAAGTCCAAATAGCACAGTGATAATTTTTAGGTTTATTATTAAATCATCAGGAAAGATAAAGGAAATGGGTTTCATATAGGAAAAGAATGTGTGTAAGCAAAGAAGCAAGATGCTGTGTAAGAACCAAGTTTCCCTTTTCATGAGCAGTAGAAACTGCTCCTCCCTGGCAGACCTTACCGACCTACCAGCAGAAGTCACTGGAGAATCAAACCTGATGGTCTGATCACATTCTTTTGGGCCCACTTAAAAGTTCCACCACATCAATGTGAGCACATTGAAGACCAAACTCCCAAAACAGGATCCTTGGAAGATAAACCATAGCCAAACCACAGCAGTGGGATAAAATCATCAGAAAATGAGACTCAAAGGGGGAAAGAGATAACTCAGAATAACAACAGCAGATGAATGATTTCTACCTTTTTATATTAAGGTATGAGTATGTATTAAATAGAAGACAAGCCAGCATGCTGTAGAGTCAATTGTACATTCATTTTCATGGAGACTGTATTTGATGCTGCCAATAAATGAAAGCATTACGTGTTCTTTGATTGAAGAACACTTGGTTCACACAAAATCAAATGGTATTCAGTCATAAGATGGAATGAAATACAGGAACAGTGACAAGATGGGTACAATATATTATGTGAGTAAGTTAAGCACTGAAATGTAAATACCATGTGATCTCACTGATTAGAGACATTTAGAGAAGTGGTCTTTACTGGAAGTAAGAATAAAAGGGTGAAGTGTGTTAACCAGAGGCTGGAGTAAATAAGGAAAAGAATAGAAGAAAGGTTGGTTAACCATGTTTTCATAGTTTAGAGACAGATGTTCTGGTTAGATGATGAACTATTCATTTTGAAAAGCCAGGAGAAATGACTGTTGTATTTTTCAACAGAAAAAGAAAAGAATAAAACTTATGGAAACAGAAATATTTTCTTTTTTCCTATTTTTATTTAAATTAGAAACAAGCTTGTTTTACATGTCAATCCAAGTTCCCTCCCCCTCACTTCCTCCCCTGCCCCCCACTAACTCCCTCTCTTATCTCCTTTCTGCTTCCCAAGGAGGGTGAGGCCTTCCATGGGGATCTTTAAAGTCTGTAATATCATTTGGAACAGGGCCTAGACCCTCCCCCGTGTGTCTAGCCTGAAAGAGTATCAGAAATATTTAACAATTTCAACCTTGTACAATGTATGCATGTACTGAAACGTTAGTTTGTTCTACATTTCAGTTAAGAGAAGAGATTCTTATTGCACCCAATAAATTCATTTCTTTCATTTCAATATCTCTTTTTCTTTGTCCTTTTTCATTCAGGCAACTATGGAGAAAGTGGGATGGAGGCTTTCAAAGATATGTCAGCCAAGGAAGGGATTTGCATCGCCCACTCTTACAAAATCTACAGCAATGCTGGGGAGCAGAGCTTCGACAAGCTGTTGAAAAAGCTCAGAAGTCACTTGCCCAAGGCTCGGGTGGTAGCCTGTTTCTGTGAAGGCATGACAGTGAGAGGTCTGCTGATGGCCATGAGACGCTTGGGTCTGGCCGGAGAATTTCTGCTCCTGGGAAGGTAGGTGGCAATGAATAATTATTACCAAAACTTTTCCTTCATTTTTTGGTGCATAAGGACTGCTGTGTTAGAATTCTAATTTGTGTACCAGAAGAATGTAACTATCATAAAACATCATAAAGACCCAAGAGAAAGATGGAAAGTGAATAGCTATTGTATGTGCAGGTTCCTGATGAAAGCAGAACTCAGAATGTAAAGATGCAGTCTTCCAATCACAAAACCTTGATAAGAAATTAGGTGGTTTCTTAAATGTTTACTGGAATCAAGAAACACATATACATAAAACTTATTAATGTTAGTTTTAAAATGATTCTGAGGATGCATACATAAGCTTGCTTTATAATAGAGAATTGTAGAGTTTGGGGTTTAAAGTAAGTAAGGTATTTTTTCAATATATCTGATATCCCATTTTCTAATCAGCTACAGTGACACTGGATAAGACTCTACACCATTAGCTTCTATAAAGATTGATTTTTAATTATCCAGACTTTTCACTTTCTTGATACAGTTTGACTGATTTCATGTGTATAAAGATAAATATATATTAGTCTGTTTTCAAAGAAATAATAAAAATTTAATACAATGTGAATAACTAATTCACAAGAGTGTGGACTAACAGAACCTATCCTTGGAAAGCCAGAAACAAAGAGAACCCATGTGTGCTTTAGTCCCAGTATAAACCTGAGATGTATGAAAAATGACTGTGTTAACTTCTCTGGGGGCTAGGAACCCAAGTACTCAGAAACATCAATGCATAGTCTACATCTAAAACATGGGCAAGACCAATGTCATGTGTCATGTACTCATGCTTAGGTCCTTCCTCTTGTCCAGCCTTCTTTTATTAAGTCTTCAACTGGCTAGGAGAAGTCCTACCAGACTTTAGGTAAGAGTAGGGAGAAGGGCCAGTATTTTACTCATTGTGCTCATTTCAAGTGATGTTATTCTAAAACAGCATCACAAACATACTCTTAATATATGGTTAAACATTTGAGTAACACATCTCAAGAAAATAAATATATAAAGTCTACTATAATTATCACTAGGATGATGCCATAGTTTTTAATGGTGTTCTCTCTAGAGATGAGAAAATGCAATTGCTCAGTGATTTGTGGGCTTTTCCCATTCTACCCTTAAATATGTCATATATTGTACACCCTTTCTGAAAAACTTGACAGTTTGTCAATCTGAAAAACTGAAAAGAATGATCTCTGATTTACTTATCTGTGAGCAATTTTGTTTAAAAGTTTTCTTCATTCTGAATTTAAAAATATTTCACTGTAATATCCACATCTTTACTCATTATTTTCTCTGAAAGAACACATGGTAATCCTTCAAGTACTTAGAGCTATAACATGATCCAGAGTTCCCTTCCAATTCTCTCTGAAACATTTCTATTTATTTAGTCCATTTTAATGAGAAATCACTTCAGGTGTTATAGCCATTTGCAAAAGAATATATCAAATAAACAGATGTTTTAATATCAAATACTATATTAAACTCTTTCTCTGCATTATCTAATGCAGCCTTTCATTTGACAAATATTGAGTACCTACGCCATCAAAATGATTTTGCTATGTTTGTGGATAAAACAGAAAGTAGTTTTACTCCTATGGGTTTCCCAGACAGTAAAATAGTCTATAAAATTCATGAGAACAGTTGACATGTTGAATAATATTTCATTTGTTTTTTGTTTTAGAAAAACAATCTAAGGTTTTGAAATATTTAATAATACCATTAAAATAAAGAAAAAACAAATTTTAGCAGTTATAAGAAGAACATTTGCCTTTTTCCTCTTTTTAAAGTGAAGAAACTGATAGCCACATGGGTCATGTAGCACTATCAAAGTTACACAATAATCCAGTAGTAATGACTGGCAATCCAGCCAATTTTTTCCTGCCAGTTTGTCTCCTATAGAATAGTGGAGGAATATAAGAAACTGATAACAAGTCCATGATGCTACATAGCTGTTTCTTAGATATTCCTATTAGTTTACCAGTATGCACTCCAATGTTTTAAGATTTGTTGTATGTTTCTGTATTCACCTAATATCTGTTTTCGTGCCTTGTGTTCGCTGATTCAAACTTGGATGAATGATTCTCAGAAACTAGAAACCAAAGCTGTAGGATACACTCTATCGTCATGGTTAGTGAGTCCCATATTTCACTCTCCAGGTGCCTAGGAACAGTGATGATTAACATGCCATTCAGTGAACATATTGGCAGGATTAAGAAAACTCTGCTGCTGAGGCACACATTTCCATTCTTTATCAACAGATCTTTCCACTGTGCTGCAAATAAATAGGATATGAGAACTACATAGACCAAGACACTCAGTCTTCCCACTTGAGCTCTGGATAGTCTGTTGTCTGGGTGTTAATAAAATCATCTTGTCTGGAACCATGAAGTCACTTTGCAAAACACCTTGGCCATTATAGGAAAAAGAAATCAGATGTAGCACCACAATAGCATTTCTAAAGATGTTTATTTTTCTAGAATGAACATACTCTTTTTTTGAGACAGTATCTCTCTCTATGTAGCCCTAGTTGTCCTGGGACTCACTCTGCTGGCCAGGGTGGCCTTGACCTCATAGAGAACCACTTATCTCTGTCTCTCTGCTTCTGTGATTGAAGACATGCCACCAGGCCTAGTCAGATTATACTGTCTGATTTCTAGACCTGGAAATGTAGTACTAGAGATAAAGTATTTACCAGTTACAAAAATTAATATAAACTTAGAAATGAGAATATTTTAATTAACCCCTTAAAGATAGTTTTGTTAATTACATCTGTACATTTGTTTGAAATGAAACTCAATATAAGGCAAGTGCACTTAAATTTCAAAACTACTTGCAAATTATAAGCAGAAATTCTGAGTATCAGGTAACTCAACCTCCATTAGTTTCAAAAGGGAAATAATGAGTTTATTCTAATAAGTCTGTTTGCAGATGAACTAGTAAACAGCTCTTCTTATAAGTAGTATTAATAGTTACTAACCTTGGCTAGACAGATATCCCTCTCTATCTTTTGGCACTATCAGTTTCTATTCAAATACAAAGTCATTTACAAACAAGTATTCCTAAGTTCTTCTAGACATTTTGATACAATTACATTCCAGGGTAAGAGCAGAGGATATGATAATGAGCTTCCGGAAGAATGAAAGAGAGAGATGGAAACACAGACAGAAGAGACAGTACTTCATTTCTATTCTTAACAGTAGCATAAAGTCAGGATTTAGATTCTTATGATTTTAATAATACCACTCTTGTATGGGAAAGGAAATAAAAGTTTTCAATAGGTTTAAAGGACAAACGAGCTAACTTACCTAACTTACACAAATGTAAATAATGCAAAGATATAATGATCCTAGAAAATAGATGTTTCAACACTTGGAAATCCTCACTTTAATTTTTTCTTATATTTATTTTGTTGTATGTGTGCTCGGTTTTTGAAAATTTAAAAAAAAACACAGTAAATATACATAAACACTATAAACATCTGTATTATGCATATGTAATGTAAATAAATATAGCAAAACTGTGTCCCATCTTGACTATATTTTTTTGTGTTTGTGTGCATTGATTTGGCAAAACCATAAAAATCACATGAAGTTCTGTCTATAAGCAGCCAGTTGTTTAGTTGTACATACATCAAACTGTCTGTCTAGACCATGTTCATTAAGACAGATAGTATAGAGAATACATGTAAAAGAAGTTTGTAAAAGAGCATGAGAGATACAACTTTTGTGCCTCTTGTACAAAAAAGATGAAAAATAATTAAGGTCATTTTGCAGCAGTGCTTTTGTTTGTCAATATGTAATTTATGACCATGAATACCAATATTAAAGGGGAAACATATGTGCATAAAAATAGAGAATTGACAGATTTCTATTTACTCTCCAACACAGGGAATTATTAAAGTATTTTCTAGTTACTAAACTTTTATTCTTGGTTTCTTTGATATATGGTTTCTCTGTGTAATAGCCTTAGCTATTCTAGAACTCACTTTATAGACCAGGCTGGTCTCAAACTCAGAGAGATCTGCTTGCCTCTGCCTGCTAAGTGCTAGGATTATGGGAGTGTGCCACCACCCTCCAGTTGGCTGATAAACTATCTTCTCATGTCATCATAATGTATCAAGATGTGACATAAAATTGAGAGTCACAGTGAACATTTTTTTCTATGCCTATAATGGATATACAGCTCTGTTTTCTGTAGCCAACCTCTTAGGCAGTCATGCTCTTAGTTAATTTTATTTCTGTTTATTTTTCTCAATGGATTTTAATGGCTCATTTTAAAATAAGGAAAATAAATTATTAACAAATGTTGAAAATGTTTTTATGGGAGTCCTTTAATTTTAACCTTGTGATGGCATTTTGTACAATATCAAAATATAATTTTTCACTGTCATCTTTAAAACACATAAGATTTGAATATTCTCTTCAAAGGCCAGTCAAAGAGATAAGTTTAGTTAGTGATTTAATTTTGGATTCTAGGGAGATCAGAAGATTAAGCAAAGGGTCATCTCACCGTATCAAACTTAAACATTGAACAGGGATCATTTAAAGGACGGTGAATAAAGCAATAATGTAAGCAGGTTAACTACTGAACTGAAGCAGAAGAAAAAATCAGTAGGTATAGGTTTAAAGGTTTGAACACAGAAAAATCACTTGATATACTCACATTGTAATTGTCAGTAACAAGTAAAAAGAGTGTGTTTGAGTAGGTATGTGAGGGACAGATAGACAGACAGAAAGACAGACAGACAGATAGATAGACAATAGATATATATAGAGAGACTGCACACATGTATATGTAGGTGATGTATGTGGCAGCACTGGGTTCAGAATATGTCACTGAAGTGTAGAAAACCAAGGGAAAGACATGATTAATAAGTGGTTTCCTATATTACCTTTAAAAATATTACTTCATCTGTTACAATGAGAAGAAAAGATTCTGCTACACTATAATCAAAAAGGCACAATGAAGAGAGGGCAGTTTAACTA